TATGTTAAGCACAGATAGCAGTGCACATCAAACACAGAGATCTCTACTTCAACCAGGAAAAAATCCCTGTGCGTCTTGCATGGTGGTCCTGCACAGGAGAAGGGAGAAGGATCCTATCAGCTAAAGGTATCAGAATCACCACTGATCTTGGTCACAAAAGAAGAATCCATTCAAAGTAAGCAGTGTTCAAAAGTAACACAAGCCTCCCAGCCAGGAAAGTAGAATAACAGTAAATTCTAGTGAGGCGATACTGCTATTTATTGTTATGTTCTGAGAAAAACTTAATTATTCATTTTGACAGTGTGGAACATAAACAGCAAAGCACTACATTTTCTCATTGAAGATACTTATTACTTAGGAAAGAAAAGCTCTGTTTTGAAGTTGTAGAAACAGTGAACAGCATCAACAAGCATCAGATTTTGACTGTATAAAGGCTATTTGATTGACTGACTTGGTGAAAATACATTTTAATGCTGTTTTGTCATCATTGTCTTAGCAATAAATATCCTATTAGATAGTTTTATGCACGTTACTCAAGAAGAAGACTACAGATTGTAGTTTCTTACTATCTTATCTGTTGGTATTCTGACTGAACCCAAAATTATTTTTATTTGTGTTAAGAAAACCGATATGTCTAAAAGATTCTTCTTTAGCAAAGCTTCAGTAAATGCAACAAGTTACATATTTGCTTGTTCTTTCCTGTGAAATTATTCCTTAAGATGCAGTGCATCGTATTTTCTTGATTCTTTACATCAAAACAGTATCTTCTCTACAATGTTCTTCAACATCTTTATCAAAGACCTCACCAGAGGGATTGAGTTCACCCTCAGCCAAGTTTGCTGACACCTAGCTGGGTGGCGCAGCTGGGTGTTGGATCTGTGTCGGGGCAATTCCACATGTGTGTACAGACTGGGAGAAGAACTCCTTGAGAGCAGCCCTGAGGAAGGACAAGGGAGGTCATCGTGCTCCTCTCCTCTGCGCTCCTGAGGCCCTATCTGGAGCAGTGTTCAGGTCTGGGTCCCCAGCATGGGAATGATGTGGAGCTGTTGGAGCAGGCCCAGAGGAGAGCTGCAAAGGTGGTCAGAAGGCTGGAGCACCTCTCCAAAGAAAGGCTCTGAGTTGGGCTTGTTCTGCCTGGAGAACAGAAGTCTCTGGAGAGACCTCATTGCAGTCATCCAGTACTGAAAGGGAGGTTAAAAGCAAGAGGGAGACTGACTTTTCACACTGGTAGATGGTGGTAGGACAAGAGGGACTGTTTTTAAGCTGAAGAAGAGGAGATATAGTTTAGATACTAGGATTTTTTTTTACTCAGAGGGCGGTGAAGCACTGTCATGGTCTGCCCAGAGAAGTTGTGGGTGCCCCATCCATGGAGATGTTCAAGAGCAGTTTGGACAGGGCCCTGGGCAGCTTGATCTATCTAGTGTGTGGTTAACTTTGCCATTTTCCAGAGAACAATTGCTGTTGCAATAAGGTTGACTGACTAAATCTTAGATACAAAGGCAACAGCATGTTCTGCTTGATACTTTGAAGTATCAGTGACTGTCCTCCTGGACTATCCTTACACCGATAATTGACGGATAATTGTTTCTATCAAACTCATTAAGTACTTGAATAACTTTATCTTAAATACTAGAGCAACAACCTTTTTTTGCCTACATTTTGAGCTTGTTGTCATTACCAGTTCAGCTCTTTTTAAATTAGCTGGGATATGAGGGGGGGATGTTAGGCGGTGGGAACAGAGACTTAACAAGCTGTAAATAGTTTTGATACTTTCAGTTACTAACACTCCTTTATGTACATTCTTAGGATTATTGTTCTAATGGTAAATATTTCAATACATATTAGAAGAGAGTGAATAAAGGTTCATTCTAGCCATATGCTAAATCTCAATTTTGTTTACTTAAAAAAAAAAAATAAAATGAAGCAATCAGTGGAAACATAGTAAAAGAAAAAGCTTATTAATTTTTTTGTTTTGTTTCTCTATGGAGGATTTCTTCAAATCAGACCATTTTTACTCTGGAAAGACAGATTACGTATTCCATTTGTTAACCAAATACATGCTGTTTGAAATTAGTTTCCTAAAACTAGCAAAGTCAAATGTGGTCACAGAAGCCTTGGAAGGCACAGTGGTAGTGATGCTTTGTTACTGAAAGACTACCCTCTCTCTTGTAACAGAAGCAGAGAGAGGTAGCAATTAATTTTTCATAGCTATCTGTTTACAGGTGCTGCTTGTGGAATTAGCTAGCTATTCTGTGAAGTTTTCAGTTGTTCTTAACGAGTCTCTTTTATTTCTTACTACTGTTCTTTGGAGAGTATGCTGTTGAAGACATTTAAAGGAGATATATAAAAACATGTATATTTCTCTGCTAGTGATATAAATCCTTTAATTTGGACTATTTTGTTGACATATTCAGAATTCAAATACACTAAAATACTCAGATTACTTGATTATATTGACTAAATTTGAATGTTTATCAAGACAACATTGATTAATAAGAATAGGATCACAAGCATACTGATTACTGATGATGGCTTTAACAGAAGACGTTTAACCACTTGAACAAATTTAAATGAAGTGCAAAGTCCTCTGTTTTTGCCTAGGAGGTGCGGTGCTTCCCTGTCTGTGTTTGTCTGCAACAGTGGCAAATTGTTGCTTTCTAATAAAAATCTGCATACTTGGTAAACCACTTTCATTTTTCTCCTCATCAAGGAGAAGCTGATAGGAAGGATTAATCAGTTAATCTAAGTTAAGGACTTAGAGGAGAGAGTCTAAAATCAAAGAGATTATGCAAACCTTATTAAAAGGGGAAAACTAAAATTGTCAGTGATCCTGTTGAAGTCATAATGAAAATGGCTTCTAATTTTGTAACCATCTTGAACCAGTGCTTCTATTCTTCTTCTTTCCCGCACTTTTAATTTTTCATTGATGTGTGAGATTCAGAAATTTGAGAAAATATGTTTAGTGAGGGGGAAAGGAAAACCAAATGCATGGATTTACTGAAATACACTGCTGTCATTGAGTAGGCTTCAGATATCTAGTGGAGATAATTCACATAGACTTATATAATGTTTAGGACTTGGAAAATGAAGAAAAGAGTCATAAATGAACACTTTTTTTTTTTTTTTTTTTACAGTTCAATTGTAGCACTACAATCTAAGCAGTCTCAAAGCTATAGCTTCTAGTAAAATCAATGAATTTATAGTTAAATGCACACTGTAAAGCTTTCTGAGTAAACAGAAAAGACCTACAGTTAATGAAACTACTATGTAAAAGATGAATGTCTAGGTTGGGTGAGACTGGCTGACACTCTTTGAATTGTGAGTTGATTCCTTATGTTCTGTATTTTACAATACAGTCTACGGTATGAAGAGCAGTATAGAAATAACAAGATACAAAGTTGTTTGACAGAAGCAGAAGAAAAATTACTGCTGTTACTTTATCTGATTGATAACTTGTTACTTTCATTTTTGATATTGATAAAATGCTATATAAAATCATTGTCATGTGTGATCATGTACTTCTGTAGACAGTTGACCAAAATTTACTATATTATTCCTTAGGGATTACATCAGTATTGCAATCGCCAGGGCACCTTTCAGTAAGAAAATGAATGTATGACCCTAAGTAGTACCTAGTGTGTAGAATAGATCTCTTTTTTATCCAAATATAGCCCATGGCTCCAGGCTCAGGATATGTTTTTTGTTTATTTGTTTTTAAACAGTATCCCAAAGACATTAAAAAAGGAGTGCTCTGCTGAGCAATTTGCAGCTTCACAATTTTTTGTAATGAAGTGCGGGATTTTCCTTTTGGTAGGCTCAGTATTAAATACTTAGTAATTTCAAAGTGCTGAGTACAGATTTTGTATCTCTATGAAGTGATGGGGTTTTTTTTCAGGTACGCTGTTAAAAAAAGGGCAAACTTGAGGAAATGTTTTCAGTGTTCATCTAGACTTATCCCAATTTTCTGCCCCAGAATGAATACAAAAAGCAGAATCAATGTTTTTAAAACATTGAGGTGGGAAGAAGAGAGGTTTTCTGTGTAAAAGCTTGTCCAGTCATTTTAATATCTCCTTTTGTTTAGGTTTTTTGTTCTGTTTTGTTTTCTTGCATGCTTTACCTTCAGATTTAGAATAGCTGAACTCCCTATGGTTTGTCTTTCTTAAATTCCTCCTTCGGGATTCTTCTCTTCTCATGAGCACTTAAATATTCATCTCATTGGTGTGATCTGTTGCTTGGCACTGCTTAACCTTTCTTGAATAAAGCCCATTATGGAGCCTAAACCTGTTGTTTTAAAGCTGTAAACAGATTATCTTTTCCAGATCCAGATGCGCTCTTTAAAGGCTATGTAGCTGCTAGCTACTTGTTACCGCTGGGAAGGTCTGGTGTGTTACCAGCTCCACACATGGGGTGGTTTATGGGTGCTCCTTAACTATCAGACAAAACTGGTTGAGGTAGCAGTTTTGTTAGATAGCTTGCTCTTAAGCAATTCCAAGTAACTTTGCTGTGAAGTGAATTGGGAAGAGCAAAAACTTTTGACGTGGCTGAAGGCTTCTGACTGGAGTATTTTGGGGCATAGTTATTTGCAGAGTGAGTGTTTACTGCTTTCTTGGACTAAAGCTATTATGTTGTCATCTCTCTCCAGACTTAGATCTGAATAGAGTCTGATGCCGCATTTATACTAATATCTGAGAGGTTAGGTGCAATAACTTGTATGTCTGTTACACAAGTACTAGTAAAAATGACTCCATTGCATATTGACTGCTAAACAGGATGGCGAAGTTATAAACATCACTTTGATAAGTTTTCTTATATGTCTGTAGCATGGATAAAGTGATCTGTAGCGTGGATAAATAATCTCACTTGGTTTTGTAATGTTAGATTTTAAAAATAGACAATACAGTACAATTGCTATCTAACACCTGCTGAGTTATATTAGAAAACATATTTTTGTGTTTATATTTACAATTTGACTAAACTAAGAAGCTTTGGTTTTTTTTTAGGGCATCCAAGATGGATCTCAAGAGTTCTCTGGAAGAATGTTCAATAGCACTGAATTTGTTTCTAAATAACAAATTCTCTGAAGCCCTGGAATTACTTCGTCCATGGTGAGGTCATGATATTTGCTTGAATTTCCATAAGCAATGTAAAATATACTATCTGCAAGCTGAAGATTGATTTAAAGCCTCTGAAGATAGTAGCTTTCACTTATTCCCTCCTTTCCAAAAGTATTTCTCAGTATTCTGCTGTTTTAAAGCTGCTAATTTCTCAAGTCCATCACAAAAACTGTTAAAGAAATAGTCTTTCAACCTACAGAAGGAAAAAACAGAACAAGACTTTACCTAATCATGTCTTTGATCAGAGACTTTGTGCAGTGGAGATGTCTTTTCACACCATTAATAAAGATGAAAAAATGCCTCCAGAATACTCTTTTAATGTTTTTTAAATTACATCTGCCTGACATTTGTATTTACTTTTAAATCAAACCCTTCCATTTTCTGATTATCTTCTTCCCTACTGCCTTTGCTCTTTACAATAAAGTCTTCATAAACTGACAAATGTAATTACATAGAATGTTCTGAAGTGTGTGTGCTCTTGCTTTCTCAGTATCACAGTCATCAGCGCAATACTGATAAACATGGCAATACACAATAGCAGTTGTTTGCTTGCTTTCTAAGTTATTCTGGTTTTTGAAAGGAGACTTCATTACCATTTCACTGCAATGAAATACAGAAGGGGAAGAACTCTTGGGATTAGAGCTGAAGCCTATACAATACAAGCTCATTATTTCTAGAAGGAGTCGGTAATAGCTATTTTAAATCATCTACCAGGCCATACCCTCACTGAGTTCAAGAGTAGGTAGCTAGGGAACTTGAAAGGTTAGCTGGGTAAGTGTGGGGGAACTGTGTCTGTGGGTAATTCGGGTGTCTGGGATCTAAGTCCTATTCACAGTCCTTTTCCTGTATGATGTGTGTGTTATGTCGAAGGGTATTTCAGTGAGGGGGTTCTGTAATGTATGTTGGTAGAGTGATGTGAAGTTCCTGCTCTGCTGTTTGACAGTAAAAAAGATTGAGTGACAATGGTGGGTTGGTAATGCCAGATAGACAGTACAGATAAGTGAAAATGCACTGTTAATTGAAATGCTGAGAAAGTAATTTAACTGTCTAATGTGTATCTAAATCCTATTCTGTGCATATTGCGCAGTGTGTTTAAACACAAACAAAACTGCATGTTATAGAGCAACATTTTGAGAAAGTACAGTACAGAAAGCCAGTTTTATTTTTTTGAATTATTGTGAAATAGTACTGCATATAAGGGTTGCATATTAAGGTATTAATAAATACATGTACACGCATTTCCAAAATATTTTAATTTATATTTCATTATATATATTGGATTATGTTTTATATAATAAAACAGCTCTATAAGTCATACCACCATTTTATACTGCAGTGTGGCTTTTTTTAAGCACAGTGAAGTGTTTCTTTTAGTTGATTTAAGCTATGAAGAAAAATAATACTCTAGATACCTTGGTTTCAGCACTTTGAGTTGCTGGCAGTTAGCAGACCCTGAGCCTATTACACAGCATATTCAGCTAATCTGCAGAAGAGGGCTTAATCTAGCAAAGAAACAAATGCCACTTTTAAGAAAGAAGGTAAAAATTGTTTTACTGAAAAATAACCTTTTAATGAAAGTTAAATGTAAGTTCATAAAGAACACTTAAAAAATACAGGAGGTGATATCTTTAAGAAATAAACAGCCTAATGATATATATTCCCTGTTTTTACTGAAGTATTCTGTCTCCAAAACTATCCCAGGGTGTTAGCTCCTTGATTAAAAAAAAACACAGTGAAGAAACTGGAGAGGATCTAGGGAGGGGTAGCAGCATGGCTAGAGAATTAGTACATATAACTGTGACTGAGAGGTGGGCTTTTTTTAGTTTGGCAAAAGGGAGACTTGGGGGATTAATCTAATAGTGGTTTGCAGCTATTGAGGGGAAGTGGCAGAGACAGTCTTATCCATAGTGGCAGATGGTAAAACAAGAGGCGGTTGCCCTAAGTTGAGGCTTAAGAAGTTCAAACTGGTTGTTAGGAAAGAGTATGTTAAATGAGAAGTACAGCAACAGAGAAAGAATGGCAAGAGATGTGTTAAGTCTTCATTTTCCTGAAGCTGTCCAAACTTGGTTGATAGGTTTCACTTCAAGAACCTCTTTCCAACAACTTTTTAAATTGTGTGATAATATTTTTCTGATGTTTTGAAAGCCAGGCTTGCTCAGTGTAGCCTTTTATGCAGGACTGATTACATGTGTACTGCCCTTTCTGTGACATAGAGGCAGATTTTTGTATCTTGGGATGAGTTAACCATTTTCTAAGGATGTCCTTATCTCCTTTGTTAAGTGAAAGTAGAGCCAAAGGAATATGTCATGGCTTAATTAGCTAAATTAAGCAGATATGCAATGAAATACAAATGGCAATATAATTAAGTGCATATGTTTATGTAACCACTTTTGGACATTTTCTGGGGCTTGCTGCAGCAGTAGCCTGTGGAGGCAGACAAGTGGCACCCAGGGGAAGCTTGCCCTTGTCTACATGATATTCTTAAGACTTCTGTTTGTCTTTTGTTTTTACACAAACTAATGTGGGTGTCTCAGACAGCATTTAATTTTGTCTTTTAAGTTAAATTTTTGTTAAAATGCACAAAACTTTTATGTTTGCCCTAGGTCTAAAGATAGTATGTACCATGCCCTTGGGTACAGCACTATTTTAGTTATGCAAGCTGCTATGACCTTTGAACAACAGGATATACAAATGGGAATTTCTACAATGAAAGAAGCTTTGCAAACCTGCCAAAGGTAAGTCCAAGCAATTTGTATTTATGAAGTACTTAATCTAGTGAATGTTCGTTGTGAGATACCCCAGCTGTCTAAGTGCTTCCACGACAGGATGCTGTTGATATGATAGGGATCTAAATTTGGAAAGGTGAGGTAAGTCACACTATCCAATTACTTTGAGTAAGGTTATGCTTACTAATATTGTCAAATTTGGGTATTCATAACCTTTGAAGTTAGTTAAAGCGCTGATTGTACTGTAGACCTACAGTCTACAGTCTACAGTAGTACAGACCACAATCAAAGCTGACATTCTGAGCTATTTCAACCTGTGATGTTTATTCTCCATAGGGATCAACAGCTTAAAGCTCCCTATTTGAAATTTTCCTTTTCTTTATGAAAATGTTCTTTTTAAGAGTTTTTTTCAAAAGTAGACGAAATAGTCTAATAGGACCAGGCTTGCACTTACATTTCGTCTAAAACAATTACCTGAAAGAAAACTGTAGCAAGGTGGGAGTGGGCCTTTTCTCCTGCATGTCTAAGTGATAAGACAAGAGGTGATGGCCTTAAGATGCACCAAGGGAGGTTTGGGATGGATATTAGGAAAGATTTCTTCTCTGAAAGAGTGGTGAGGCATTGGAACAGGCTGCCCGGGGAGGTGGTGGAGTCATTGTCCCTGATGGTTTTCAAGGAACCTGTAGATGTGGTACTGAGTGATGTGGTTTAATAAGTATGTTGTTGCTGGGTTGATGATTGGACTGGATATTAGAGGTCTTTTCCAACAGTAATGATTGTATGATTGTAAGTAAGCTCTCAGTATTTTTAAATGAATGACTCCCTGGCTTGGAAAATGCATTCCTTTTCTGAATTGTTTGTTGAGCTTCTTAGTAAGGCTGTTCGTAAATATCAGTGAATTCAGTTTGGGAACATGATACTAAGATAAACTAGTATTTTATAAGGTGGATAACTGAGATCTGTTAAAACTAAAATGTCTGCTCTTCTGCTCTGGGAGGTCCAGTGTGAAATACCACGTCTGGCATAAAAGGTCATAAAATACTTATGTATTTATGTTGAAAACATCTTCTCTTTATTTTCATTGTAGCTCCCTGTGCAAGTTTGAGAACAAATAGAAAAAAAACAATCATTAAAATCTGAAGTTGAATTAAAGTGGCTTACCCAGCATCAAAAAGACTTCTGCAGCAGTTCTGTCAATTACATTACTTTGCTGTCAGTGTGACTTTTTTTCTCAGAAGTCTCTTTTCAAAAGCTAGAGGTCCAGTGAGAAATGGAGACCAGCATATGGTACTGATTCATTCCCCAGCAGTGTTTCTGCATGTGTGTTGAATTAGGCAGGAACGTTATAGATGGAAGCTGGAAACACTGTTGTATACTTAACATAGATTAAATGTGTACTTGGAAGATAAATTAAGGTTGGATAGGCCTCTGGGCCTATCAGTGGCGGTGATTAAATCACTCAAAAAAATGTAGCTATTGTTAAATTATGACTTTCCTAAGAATGTCTGCAATTTGTGGTTGGAATTGGTTAAATTGTAAATAATTAAGTTCTTTTCAGAATGTCGCTTATGCTGTTTGGGTTTCTTTTCTTCCATGTATGACTGATTCAGATTCAGGAAAAGAAATACAGTGGTAGAGTCCTTGTCCAATCTAGTTTCTAAACAGTCAGTGGATCAACTGAGTGAAGGTAAGTGGTTTATAATACAATTAAATTAACTAAATTTTAAAAAGCTTGAGAACACTCTATCGGTGTGCACTAATATGCTATATTCTATAATTTGAGTAGTATCTTACAGTAAAAAAAAAATCCTGCATGTACCACCTTCAGTATTGCAGAGTCCTTCGGAAGCAATATTATTTAGTGCAGATCAATTACCTATTTAATGCATAGTTTCTCAAAATTGTGTATTCCAGCTCATTTGTTAGGTTCTGAGCATGCATCAAGTAAGAAAGTTTGTTTGATAACCAGTTACAGTTTCTTTTTTTCCCCCTCAACTTAAGATATCTGAGAAAAGCTTAAGAATCACTGATGCTGTGGAATAAGTCCTTATCATTAGTTGTATTTGAATCTGAATATATTAACAAGTTTTGTGCTTGTCTGTTTTGCCTTAAGGTGTTTTGGGAAATGGTATCAGTACATTGTTCATGGCTCTGAAAATGCTGATCTACTATTTCTGATTCAGGCAGAATCAAGTATGCGTTTTTTTCTAACCTGACACAAAAGAACCCTCCTTTTACCGAACACATCAAATTCACCGTGTGTGCACTGTACATACAGCAGCCTTATGCATGTGTCTGGTCTTGCAGCATGCAGTTACTCTCGCAGCAGAGTAACTCGTGTCGTGTGTGTTAAGTCAAATGGATTTTAGTGGTGCATGAGGACAAAGCCTGGGGCTTTCAGATTGCTTAGCATGACTTAATGAAAACTTGTTCATAATGTCTTACTGGACTTAGGAAACAGCGGAGCCACTGTGTTAATGTTCATCTACAGAAGTTTTCTCAGATTTGAAAGGAGAATTTGAAGAACTAGTTGCTTTAGGCTTGTATTTAAAGATAGTATCAATGGAAAGTACACGAGATCATCAACCAGAGTAGGAAGAAGCTTCTGCCCTAGGCAGAAGACAGCCCTGACAAGATCAAAGTTTTTGTCTGAAGAAAGGTGAAACAGAATACTGTTTTTAGCTAGCTTCTCGATTACTAGTTCTGATGGAATCTGCATGTTACAGCTGCTGTTCAGCAGTTATCAAAACAGCAATGGCAGAGTCTGACCTTTTTTCTTGGCAGCATTTTATTTGTTCCATTGACCTCAAAGGAGAATATTGATATTGTCAGCTTTGCTGACAGTAGATTACTTTTCTTTCTTCTATAGAGGAAATGCATGCTGAAATCTGCTATGCGGAATGCTTACTGCAGAAAGCAGCTCTCACCTTTGTACAGGTAAAATCATTCCCGTTCTGTGTTTTATGTAATAGTTTAATGGAAAGATGTGAAGATGTTAGTGCTGGTAGAACATACAGAATATCTCCAGAATAGATAAGTTATTAAAAAAAAACGTCCTCCAAGTGAACTGATGTTACTTTGTGACAGTAATTGAAAGTACAGCAAATGCTATGCTATCAAGCAATACTGTCAGTTTAGATTTTTTGTTTTGTTTTGTTTCTGTGGATGTTATTGATACCCAGGATCAAATGGTTGGAGGTGTCATACATATGGTAGATTTGAATTACTGGCATCACATCTAAAATTATACAGGACTTGTTTAAAGAGATGTTCAATTGTGAGGAAATGTCTCATTTTTGTTCAGAAAGGATGGAGTGTTTCCCACCTAAAAATACTTAAACTGGTGTGGCATTGTCTTTAATTCAGTGTGACTCTCCAATGATTGTGTCTTGATAGCTTTTGAATATCTTCAGGGAAGGAGATTCCACAGCCTCTCTGGACAGCCTCTTCCAGTGCTCAGTCACCCTCATAGTAAAGGGTTTTTTCATGACATTCATTTGATACTTCCGGTATTTCAGTTTGTACCTATTTCGTCTCATCCTCATCCATGCTTTCTCCTATCCCAAGAAGAGCTTGTCTCCTCATCTTCATCCCTACTGCTGGGTATTTGTATGCATTGATCAGATCCCTCCAGAGCCTTCTCTTCTCCAGGCTAACCAGTAAACAGGCCCAGCTCACTCAGCACTCCCTCATAAGAAAGAAGCTCCTGTCTCTTAATCAGTTTAATAGCCATTCACTGGACTCACTCAAAGAGCTCCCTGTCTCTCTTGTACTGGGGAGCCCAGCGCTGGTTGCAATACTACAGTTGTGACCTCACCAGAATTGAATAGAGGGAAAGATTACCACCTTCAATCTGCTAACAGTGTTCTTCCTAACACAACCCAGAATGCCATTGGCTGTCTTGACAACAAAGGCACATTTCTAGCTCATGGCTAAATTGTCCACCAGAATAAGTGGTGGACAAGATCCTTCTCTGCAGATCTACTTTCTAGCAGGTCAGCCCACGGCCTGTACTGGTGCCTAGGTGCACCTTGTACTTACTTTTGTTAAATTTCAGGAAGTTCCTCTCTGTCCATCTCAGCCTGTCAAGATCCTTCTGAATGGCAGCAAAGCTCTCCTTCATCCAAGTCTCTGATGAGTAAGCTGAACAATTCTGGACCCAATATTGACCCGTGGGGAACACTTCTAGCTCCTGGCCTCTGACTAGACTCTGAACCATTGATCACAGTCCTTTGTGACCTGTTGTTCAGCCTGTTCTCAACCCACCTCACCATTCACTTGTCCAGCCTGCACTTCCTCAACTTAGCTATAAGGATCCTGAGTGACACTTTCAAAAGACTTGCTTAAGTTCACATACAGGATGCATTGCTTTTGAGCTTGGAGGAAATGATCCTTGAATGTTAGCCAGCTTCCTTTTCCTTGTAGGACCTATTTCCATAGGATTATTCTAGGAAGGTCCCTGAAAAGGTCAGAGTTAGCTCTCCTGAAGTCCAGGGTTGCAGTCTTACTTATTGCTCAGTTTCCTTCTTGTGGGATCATGAACTCCTTGATCTCATAGTCACTGTAGCAATGGCTGCTCTGAAGTTTTCACATCCCTAATCAGTCCTTATTTATTTGTAAGAACAAGGTCCAGCAGCACACCTCTCCTTGTTAGCTCCTCCACCACGTGTGAGAAGAATATATCACCAGTGCTTTCCAAGAGTCTGATGGATTGTTTGTGTCCTGCTGTGTTGTTCCTCCTGCAAATGTTAGGATGGTTGAAGTCCCTCATGAGAACCAGGGCCTTTGATTGTAAAAGGCCTCGTTTACTTCCTTGTGCTGATCATGTGTTCTGTAGTAAACACTTCAGAACAGAGTCGTCCTTGTTAAGTCTTTCCTTTAATCCTTACCTGCTCATCATGCACTCTTAGGCAGGGCTCCATACATTCCAGGTGTTCTCCCATATATAAATGAGCTACACCACCAGCTCTTCCTGGCCAGTCTTTCCTAAAGAGAACATGTAGCCATTCATGACAATATTTCAGTCGTATGAGCTATCCCACCATCTCCCTGTAATCACAGATCTCTGATTCTTCCCACGCTGCATGCTTTGGTATAGAGGCACTTCAGAGAGGTATTTGAGAGTGCCAGTTTCCCAGGAGGGGTGGTAATCCCTTCCGACATAAATTAGGAAGAAGAAGTGAGACACAAATGTATAAGGTCAATTTGATCCAAATGGTTAATTCAGTTCAACTTTATAAATCACTTAATAGAATACTTAGATAGAAGTGTCAGGAAATATTAGGAGTGGAATGGCAGTCTTTTCTTTCCTAGTGAAAAAGAAGCAAACCTCTTTTTTTTTTCCTTTTTTTTTTTCTTTTTTTCTTTCATTTGTTTGTTTTCTGATTTTGTTTTTAAGCACAAAGAGAATTTTTAAGTGCTTGTTGAAGGAGATCAGCTGTGGGGCTGAATGAAGTGAAATACCCTTAGGGGAAGTGTACCCCTTCTGTAAAGGAGCACTTTGCTCTCCGTTGTTTCACCTGCTTTGTTTTTTGCTGTAATACCCTGATCTGCTGATTTCTGCCATACTTCATTACTCTCTGGCTGACCTTGATTCATCTGAGGAGTGGTGGCACTGAGAATGTAGTTATTTAGAAAGAGGCAGCAAGAATACTTGTAATGTATATCCACATTTCAGTGTTCAGTCTTACAAACAGAACAGGTGATTTTCAAAATGGTCGTCCTTCCATGGAAGCCAGCACTTCCTTTAGTTCCTAATTCTGATGGTCTTTTTATGTGTGTTTATTTATTTATTTATTGTCAACATCGTATGTGCTGTCCTGGAGTATTTAATTAGGATTTCTGAAACGCACACATTTCCCTCCTATGTTAATTCTAAGAGAAAAAATAAAAATCTGTCCTGCTGAATCATTGACCATCTTGCTATTTAGGAACTTATTTTTGATAGCTAGCGGATTGTGGCTTTGACTTTCTTAGAGATAGTAAACATGTATGTTGGGTAGTATATGTAATAACTGTTGTTTAGCAATCGTAATTCATCTGCTTAGAGATTTTTTTGGTTTATCTTCTGCAAGGTTGTGTGTGTCAGAATCATCATTCCAAAAATATTTAAAAGATTCCTACAGCACCACCTGGTGGAGAGCTTTCTTTTTCGTTTATACGTGTTAGAAATTCAGTCAAAAAACAGCTGCTCACTTTGCCTTCTTTTGAGTTTTGAAGCTCATCACATGCAACAGAAAAACGTTTCCATGAAAACGTAATGCATGTGCTAACTTTAGTCTTAAAGATGATTGTATTAACTGAAAAACATTTTTAATATTTCCAGTGACTAAAGTGCAAAATAAAGTAAAATGTTGCTGAAAATTTGTGTATGTTATTTGTAATAGCCAAATATGTGTTTTTTGTACAATTAATATTTTGTATTTCAGGATGAAAATATGATCAACTTTATCAAAGGTGGCCTCAAAATTAGGACAAGTTACCAAATATACAAGTAAGCCATTGGAAAATACTCAGATTCAGTGTTGGTATAAGCAGGCAAATTAATGCCTCCAAACTGAAGGGAGAAAACGAAAGACTGTTTTATAGCAATGATAATGATTAAACTTATACTTTCTAAGTCATGTTTCTCATCTCTCCTTCTTTTGTGCATCAAAAGAGAATGTCATCAAGTTCTACAGATGACTCAGGGGAACAAAAGCAAAAATGAAACTTACCACCAGTTTGAAGGAGGTGTAAAACTTGGAATTGGAGCATTCAATTTGGTATGATTTTTTCAGACTACATAAATTCATTTCAGTAATTCTGTAGGATTCTTTACATATATAGTACTGTAATCCTATTTTAAAATGTCAGTAAAACATCCAGCTTGTAGGTTCTACAGCTCTTATGAAACATGAAATGTTTAGCAGCTTTTTGCATTATGTCTTCTAGGATTTTTCAACTAATTGATTTTAAATTTTGTTTTATCTATTTTACTAACATATATATGTAATTCTTAAGATGGAAAGCAGCTATACTTACCTATATATGACTAGCATGACTTTTAAAGATGCTTCTACGGTTGGTTGCAAGATACCTGGAATGAATGCTTTTATTCTATCTCTCCCATTTTGCCATTCTTGTGCTTCATTATTTTGACATATTGTAAGTTGTCACTGTGAATTACTGTAGACCATTCACAAATTCAGAAGAACAATCTGTAGCTTACTGGATTTGTACGAGAGACGACTGGGTGCATCTACTGGTGTTTTTATTTGCAATTACTACATTGCCTTTTCACATCTATCACAACAACAGTGAGAGTTGATTTCTGCTGGTATTTTAATTTCTGTATCATTCCAGACTGGAGCTGGCCAGTTCTGAGTATGGTCAGAAGAACTCAGGTCTCTCTGCACCTGTCAGTCTTTAAAACCCAAGCAACTGGTAGATGTCTTTCACAAGTACTCTGACCTCTCCTATACTTCATGAAGTCTTCTCAGCAAGAAGCTTAAAAGAAAAGTCTGTTCTGGGCAGAATATAGTAGAGTGAATGGAGCTTACAAAAACTGACCTTCAAATAGAACTTCCTGTAATATTTTTTGAAAAGGTGGTTTTGATCTTTAAAAGTTTTCTCTTGTGTAGAATGTGGAGATTGCTGTTATGGGAGAATTAGAAAATGCATGTAATATGGTATAATTAGCTAATACTTCTAGAAAAGATAGGCTTGCTAGTCTGCTGATTCCATACTTCCAAAGTAGGAAAAAGTAGAAGTTTTGGATACCATTGTATCATTTCACTGGGATTAAAGGAAGATGACAGTTGTTGATAATTACTGTCAAAATAGATATTACTTGCCTCTTATTCCACATGGCTCAAAATTTTCAAGCAATTCTGATCAGCTGAAGACAGGAAAGTCATTATCTGAAAAAGAACAGATGGACTCTGTCTTGCTGTTTCCATGCTGGATAATCATCAAGTGTTTGAGTTTTCCTTAAGCTGCAAACTGATTGCATGTTGTTAATCATGCATGTCTGTTTTTGAGTTCATGTGTATTTTACTTTTTCAGTGATATGTAATGGCATTTAATATAGTAGTTAGCATTCTAGCTGTAGTTTATAGTAGTTTCACAGTTTGTGTGAATGTGTGTAAGTTTTTTGTGTCTTATTCTTGTTTGAAATGTATTGCAGATGCTGTCGCTTTTACCAGCAAGGATCCTCCGATTTTTAGAATTTATTGGATTTTCTGGCAATAGGGTATGGGATTTGTATTTGCTTTTTCTAATTAGACGTTTCCCAGGTAAAGACTTGGTGTACATAATACTGTGCATTTCACACTAGATGTATAATGATATACAATGTTGATTATTACTTCAGTGTTCTAAAAAAAATAAGTAGAATAGATTATGCAGGCGTGAAAGCAGATATGGTGATATCTGACTCCTTGAATCTTAAACAATCAAGGAAAATCATTAGCTTGCTTTAGAGATGGTTTTCGAGTTACAATTTCATTTCTTTTTCCTGATCCTTACAGAGAGAATATCAGCTTTTTTTTTCCTAATTTCTGGCTCAGTGAGTCATAGTTCCACATTTTTTTTCTTCACTTTCTCCTACCTTTGGGAGAATGAAGTTCCGAGTGTCTTGCTGTGCCATCCCAGTACATCTGTTACTCATGGCTGAGATATCTATTTGTAATTATAACCTCTTATTATTCTGCAGCACTTCAATAATGCCTTTGCCACTTCAAGAAATGAAGCAAATAAACAAACAAAAAAAACAAATAAACTCACAGAATTATATAGAATTAAGTGTCAGAATTAAGTATTCATAAGTCAGAGAGTCACTGTATGATCTTATTCCTCTTAGCTTGCCCACTCGTATATTTTATATAAAATTAGGTTTCAGCAGAGAGCCATTTATTCTGTTGCTTCCTGTACAAATTGTATTGCATGTTGGAACATTTTCATGGTACACATTCATGCTGTGAATGAGAAGGTGATAAAAGTTGGAAGGAAAGCTGAACAATTGCTATGCAATAAAACTCCTTAATTTTATTTTATTATTCATTAATTTACTTATTATGCTTTTTTTTTTTCCCCCCAAAACTGTTTAAATCAGCTTCTGAAGACTTATTGCCCTTAAGCAGGGAAGGCTTGAACTCATATTAATAATCCCCAGAGCAGCCAAACTGTCTTGTAATGGGCATAAGCTGAAATGGATAAAAAGAAGTTTCATATGTAATAGCCAAGTAAACATCCCTGTTTTTTTTTCAGTACTCACAAATTAAATTGTAGCTTCTGGAAACTGTCTAGAAGTTGGTTTCTTAGCAAAGCTGTTATTATGATCAGAAACTCTAATCAGTGGCTGACTTGACAGGAGAGAATTGAGAATAACCAGTGATTTCTGTGAAGGAAGATTTTTGTCTAAAAGTACCACAAAAGAAATTGAGAGAAGTTTCTATGAAACGCAGTGTTAAAAACATTATTCTAAAAGGCTCATATCAATAAAATAGTGAGGAAGGGATTTAGGCCTGTGTAGCTGCATGGTCTGTGGAATTCGTAGGTAATTTTTTTCAGCATTAACTTAATCTGCTTTTGGTCAGCTGCGATCGGCAGTGTCAGAAGTATTTTGATAGAATGTTATGTTGGATCTGAGATAATGAAGTGCTAAATTATGAAATATTTATATTTAACATGGGGTTTGGGTGAGCTATAAATGATTGAAAGTAACTGTGTATACTGACAGTTAATTCTGCATGTGTTTGTGATATTTCTTAGGAGCTGGGCCTCTATCAACTTTGGGAAGGAGCATCTGGCAGCAGTTTGAGAGCCATTCTGTGTACTTTTACCCTGTTGGTGTATCATACTTACGTCTCCTTAATCCTTGGTGAGACCCACTGTGTAGCTCTTCAGTCATACTACACATTATGACAGATATTCTGCTATTTGAACTGAATTTAGGATCTAGGGCTGTTAGTTTTGTGAGAGGAGATTTCTGTGTAACTCATTACATTCTGAAACTGATCTCTCTGACAAAGTTATGCTCTAAGAAGTAGTTAGGCAGATGCTGTTATTACACTGACATCATGTTCTGTTTGAAGGATCTCCTTCAATTGTAACAGCAAAATTTTGTTGAACACTTTTAATTTCTGACAAGTCCTTTTCCATATATTAACATCATGAAAGCTGTCTCAGGAATGAGGTCTGTACTCCTAAAGAAATTTTCTTGGAAGGTCAAACATACTGAGAATTGTTCTTTTGCCACGTGGGCCTACAAGTTACTGTGGGCCTACAAGTTACTTTTTATTGTGTATGCATCTTTGAAGACTTGTTTATGTTCTTTACTTTCTGTCCTTGTCCTTTAGGCTAATTAGGAAATTAAGATGAACTTTATTTCTTTTAGTATCACCCATGCTTTGTTACTGAGTTTAAAACTAGGAAGGAGGGCAGCTAGAGACTGTTTTCTTTACTTGTTAAAACAATCAAAGAGACTTGCAAATATATAAGAAATTTATAATGAAGTAGTTGTAAGGTTAATGTATTTTATCTCTGTCTACAAACGTTTTCTATACTAAAAGCCATTAGTTCTTAACAGACAAGAATTGATTTTTATAGAAACATAATATGATCAAATAATATTTCTGCTTTTGAATAAAGCTGGTCATTCATTAATCTATACATGTCATAATATGTTTTGGAAATCTAATTTTTCATGTGTTAAACTCCTTTTTTCATATTTTCTGTAAGTAAACTGAGGTTGATTTATTATATTTTCTAGGTACAGGGGACACCAATCTTCAGGAAGCAGACAGTCTCCTTGAACCCTACCTCCAAAAATTTCCAAATGTGTGTATTCTCAACAAACTTTGTAACACTAATATATTTCCCTAAGCTTAAAGTGGTAACTAAATATTTTTCACCTCTCTTTTAAAGGGTTCCATTATACTGTTTTATGCTGCCAGAATAGATACACTGAAAGGAAATTTTGAAAAGGTAAATCAATTTTTGCTTTTTAAGGTTTTTACTTGTTAATTGTATAGCTGTGTTTTGTGGCAAAAAACATACATATGATTCATCTCAGTAAGTATACTGGAAATGATAATTACGTTGTTTTCCCTGTTCACATCTAGTGTCCGTATTGATTCCAAATCTTACTCTAAGATAAACAGGGAGAAGATTTGGTGATTTTTCAAGTTGATTGTTCTTTGTTTGGGTGCTGCAAAAGAATTTTCTATGTAATTAGACACATTTCTATCATGGAACTATAACTGTTATTCCTACTTACCTAAATCCTAGGCGCAGTTAACATTCCAAGACTGCATAGCAGCCCAGCAAGAATGGAAACAGATTCATCATCTTTGTTACTGGGAACTGATGTGGTGCTACACCTTCCAGCAGAACTGGCTTCAGGCATATCGGTATGCAGACCTGCTGAGCAAAGAGAGCAGGTGGTCTAAGGTAAATGGTCAGGTGGACATTAATATGATATTCCAGTAGCCACTCATAGTTACATTTGCATTTTGCTGTACAAAATAAGTTTAATTTTTCCTTTCCTCTTAAATCTGTGAGTAAAGGGACAGTACAACCAAATTGTTTTCATAAATTATAAAAAGACAAAGGCATGTCGAGTCAGCACATGCTTCGTGACATGAAATAAAAAGTCTTCTGGAGATGGAGTCTTTTGAGTAAAGCTAGTCGGCCAATCTTATCCTTCTAAAACTACTCTCAGAGTAGGAACCAAGCACAATGTGCAGATAATTTTGGTTACATCTTTCATCTGTTCTTTTTTAGGTAATAATTAGGTGGAAAAGATGATACATCCTGTTTATGACAAAAAAAAAAGGAAAACAGTGATAATATATTGTGTGAAGTGCAAATGTCTTAAATAGAATTATGGATGTTTCCTTTTTTTCTCTGCTAAGTCCAGACTTCCCTTGAGGTAGTGCTCAGATCAGATAATACTTAGAGTAGTTACGTCTGTCCTTAACTTCTTTTTTTTATCAGTTATTTGCACTGTGAATTGTCTCACTTTTTGCAGGAAGGATTTTTAATATTGACTTACTAAGAATATTAATAAATATGTTGAAAACAAAATTAAACTACATAATAAATACATGGGTAAACATAAATAGTTCTACCCACCTGAGAATTACTGGGAGCACTTCACTGCAGCACGTAGGGTGAGAGATTTCAGTTCTTAGTGTATTCATTGAATGCAGCATATCAGTGTGGTAATATGTTGATTTTTGTTTATGAAATAGGCAATATATGTATTCCAAAAAGCAGCAATTTTATGTATGCTTCCAGAGGATGAATTGAAAAGTACTGGTGAGGACATTGTATCTTTGTTCAGGTAAACATTTATGAAATAATTAGATGTTCAATCATCATATTCCATCCCAATTCCACAGTCACAAACTAACTTCAACTTGAATATCTTCGTTTTGTATCACCTACTCCCTATGTTTTACCATCAACTTTTCAACTTTTCTCATTACTTATTACCATCACATTGTTGAAAATGCTTTTATTAGCAACATACATTTTGCATCAGAATACAGTGTGGTAGAAAACCACACAGTTAAGATGTTATTCTTCCCAGGAGAATATGAGATCTTACTACATTAGACTAAAGGAAATAAAAACTACTTAAACTGACCTCTTTTTTGTCTCCTCTTAGACAAGTGGATGGTCTAAAACAGAGAATTGCGGGAAAATCTATTCCAACTGAGAAATTTGCAGTAAGGAAAGCTCGACGCTATGCAAGTTCTCAACCTGTGAAGCTGATATTACCTGCCTTGGTATTTATACTTGCTTTCTTTTTGTCCTTTTTAAATGAAGAAATTGAGAAAAATTGGGGGAAAAAAAAGGAGTATAATTTCTAAAATAATTTCTTACATTTTATCAGGTAATATATATCTGAAAATTTTATTTTATTTTTTTTCCAAATAATTATTCATGCAAATGGAGTGGCCCTGGGATTTTTGTAAAATGTACTAAGGACAGTCTAAAACCAAATCAGATTTTCCACAAGGCCAGGCTGGATGTGGCTCTGGGCAGCCTGGTCTAGTGTTTGACAACCCTGCCCACAGCAGAGAGGTTGTAGCCAAATGATCTTTAAGGTTCTTTTCAATCCATACCATTTTACATAGAACGTGACTTTTGCTGCATGGGCCTGCAGCTCACTCTTGTTCTACATTTGTTCCATTGTGCATGGCATTAGTTTCATAAATGTATAGTAGACAGGAGCAATGAATTGAAATAAAGCTAGCATAAAGTAGTTGATAGTATCAATAACACTTTCTTTTAGACTTTGTTAGAACCAATTTTTTCTCCATCTGAAAAACCGCGTAGTTACAGCAGAAATGTAAACAGAAATATTTCAGTGGTGTATTGCATCTGCTTCAAAATGACATTGTTTCATATTTCATGGGTGTAATTACAATGCAAATAAATCAGATTATGCTGTATACTGTATTTTGTGATGACAGAGTAGGGAACATAGCAAAGATTATTGTTGGCTAGAATTAAATCTGCATAACTGTTCTCTCATTCTCTTTAATTTTTATCACATCACACATTAATTATTGCGTCTAAACAACCATATTGCTTACTATTGGACTGAAGCATCTGGGGAGCTTTTTGATAGGATTTGCTTGATGGTTAATTCTAAATAAGATTTGGAGGAATATATTAGAGGCAGTTGTTGGATGCATATATTATTATGTATGTGTGTATTGGAACCACAGGGAGAGTTTTATCTACTTTATCTACTGTTGCTCTACATGGAAGATAAGAGCCTATGATTGCCTTTGAAAATTTGTATGTACCTGATGAAATGTCCATTACACATTCTCAAGTGCTTATTTGAAGTAACACAATTACTTTTATTCTTGGGCTTCTTAGCAGTGACAAGCTTTGAAACCTTTCATATTGTTTAAAACAAGTTTTTGTAGGCAGTATTTTCATGTTTTCAAAATGTTCCATAACATCCTCCCAAGGGTTCTCTCTAGTTAAATATCTGTGCAATTTCATGAGATTGTCTTGTTTATTTTTTTTGTCAGGAAATGATGTACGTCTGGAATGGCTTTGCAATTGTGGGCAAAAGAGCAGATCTCACCGAAAATTTATTGGTAACAATTGAAAAAGAAGAAACTGCTCTAAAAAATGAAACTAGTAAGTAATTGATTAAGATGGTGTTAACATGCTAGTGTGAAATACTGACACTTTTCTTTGCTTCCATTTTACTAGCATTCTGTAAGGTAAGTTCTGTCTTACGCAATATGCTTTTAAATCTGAGTATTGAAATTTTGGAGCTGCTTGAATGTTTAATAGTGGTTCATGATATGTCCTTCGTCAAGTTTGATTAATGCTAGGGTAGAATATAGAAAAGTCTAGAATTTGAGGCCATTCCTTACAGGACTTAACATAGTCTTCCTAGAACTTAAATATCTGAAAAGTACTGTTACTGAACCAGATTATACCACACTTGAACTGTATATTGAATAACACATAAATGTATAATGTATAAAAGAAATGCTGAATTATTGTGCATGAGTGTATTTTATAACTATTTTTGTAACTTGTGTTAAAATAAAACATTGGCCTTATTTGTGTTAAAATAAAACATTGGCCTTATTTGCTCTTCCTTAATTCAGGCTTTATCAGGGTTGCTGCTGTTTCCTGTTATGTAAGCTTCTCAGTAGACTACTCCTATAAGTTCTTCTAAGATGAATAAATGTTAGGTGTTTTCCATAATAGTAATTCACAAAAACAGTTTGTTTTGTAGTCAGATTGTAATCATACCTATTATCAGTAGCAAGGCAGTTTTCCCACGTCATTAAAACATGTAATTACATAATGTGTCAGTAGTTCTGTGAGAAGAGTTTACGAATTACTGAATGAAGTGTCAATTTACCCTGAGTACATTAGTAACAGTAATGTTCTTTGGCTGGACAGTATCAAAACCCTTTCAGTTTGTTACTAGCAGATATAATTACCTGTTTAATAATTGTGCAGAATAACTCTCCCTAAAGCGTAGTATTTCTGCAAAGCCAAAACCCTTCGAAATTGAATTTCAAACTTCACCATTATGAATGTTCTCCTGAGCTCTATTCTGTAGGCAAGATACAGTATGAGGTGTTTGTATAAGGTGAGGAAAGAAAGCAATGAAATATCCTTGCTAGTAAAGAAAAGAATAGAAGTAAGTGAACACCAAAACTAGGGACTGATATTAATAGTAATCCAAATGTTACAGTTTTATTTTATTCCAAGATATATAAAAAAAGAGAGATGTTCTAACACAGGTAAATACAAAATAATGTGGAATATATTACCCTTCTCTCATGCTTAAATATTTCGTCTTCAAATAAGCAAACATGACAAATAGATTGCTATGGAAGGTGAGGTACTCTTTTCCTGTTTTCTTGCATCATTGAAATAAAGACCTAACAAAATGTTTGTACCCTCTGTTAAGTTTGCAGATGACACCAATTTGAAAAGTATTATTGATTTGCCTGAAGGTAGGGACGCCTTTCAGAGGATCTAGATAAGCTGGATCGCTGGGCTGAGGTGAATGGGATGAGGCTCAACAAGACCAAGTGACAGATTCTGCACTTCAGCCACAGTAACCCCATGCAGCATTATAGGCTGAGTGGCTGGATGACTGTGAAGAAGAAAGGGGGTGTTGGTTGATGCTCGGCTGAACATGAGCCACAGTGTGCCCAGGTGGCCAGAAGGGCCAGAAGGGCCATCCTGACCTGCATTAGAAATAGTGTGGCCAGCAGGAGCAGGGAGGTAATCATCCCCCTGTACTCAGCACTGGTGAGGCCGCACCTCAAGTACTGTATTCAGGTTTGGGCCCCTCACTACAAGAAAGGCATTGAAGCCCTGGAATGTGTCCAGAGAAGGGCAGCGAAACTGGTGAGGGGTCTGGAGCACAAGTCTTATGAGGAGCGGCTGAGGGAGCTGGGGTTGTTTATCCTGGAGAAGAGGAGGCTCAGGGGAGACCTTATTGCACTCTACAACTTCCAGAAGGGAGGTTGTGATGAGGAGGGCTTTGGCCTCTTCTCCCATGTAACAAACAGGACCCAGGGAAATGGCCAGAAGTTGTACCAGAGGAGATTAGACATAAGGAAAAGCTTTTTCTGTTAGAGAGTGGTCGGGCACTGGAATGACCTGCCCAGGGAGGTGGTGGAGTCACTGTCCCTGGCAGTGTTCAAAAGGCGTCTGGATGAGGAGCTGCAAGATATGGTTTAGTAGCTTGTGGTAGCGGTGGTGATGGGAGGACGTTTGGACTAGGTGATCTTGAAGGTCCTTTCCAACCTTGTGATTCTGTGATTCAAAAAGCAAGACATCTGCAGATGAAGTTATGCTGCTCTGAATTTTGCAAGAAGAGTGCTGGCAGAAGCTGTTGGGAATCCAGAGGTGTTTCATGCAGAGATCAGTACTGTAAATATCTAGTCAGTTTAGAACAGTGAAGTCAGTTTCCTGTCCAATTCCTTGGCAGAGATGTGCAAGATGTCACCATTAAAGAAACAGTAAAACAATTGCAGTAGCACTGAAATAGAAATGAATTAGATGATTAAGGGTATAGAAGATATTTATGTCTAAAGAATCAGGTGAGCTCTTGTTGAAACAGAAAGCAGCTGATTGATGTTTTAGGATCTGCATGTCCTTAAAAGCAGAGGCTGGAAGAGAAACAGAATGGTCTTGTTTGTTGTTTTAATTTTCTTGGAAACGCTGGTGTGACTTCCTTTTTAACAACTGAATGGTAGGGAAGCATAGGTGAGGATATGTGGATATGCCGTAAGTGAGTAAGTCATTAAGAACAAGGCTGCTTTCTCTCAGTGAGAGAACTTCCTGCATAGGAAAATGAACTCAGTTACACTGTCCAAACAAATAAACCAAGAAGTTCAAAGGAATCAAACTGTGTATCTAGAGGTTCTTTTCTGAGTTGCTGTCACATCAAAAATGAAGCTGAGCTATGTATCTATAGCATTCAGATGGCAGATTAATTCTTGTAAAAATGAGTGTCCAGAAAGAAAATAAATATGTGTACAATGAATATTATAAAAATCTCAATTACATGTTGCTCAGACTAAATAGTAGTGCTGTAGCTTTAGACTGTGGTATAAAATGTTTATTCATCACTTGGAAATCTGTTGTTAACAGCAGTTAAAATAAATAACTGGTGCTTTCAAATAGTATTTTTCTGTAAAAACAGTATGTTCTTCTAATAGAAACATGCAGTTTACAAGTAAGATGTAATTCTGAAGCATATTTACTTTTACATTTTATGTGTCTTTTGTAGTAATAACTGCAGTGAAGTACGGTTTGTTCTGAAATTTCTGTCTTTGAGTCTGATAAATTTTTAATGATAAACAGTGAGACAAAATAAAGACACTGATTACCAGAATTGCTGCCGCTGAGTTGAGACCCAAAGAAAGTGTATAAGGCTATTAGCAGAGTGAGGCGCGGATACAGTATTATTTTAAGAGACAGCTGTCAGTAGTAGATAGCTTAAAAGGACTGCTAAGGTGCTGTTAAAAAAAAAAAAAAAAAAGTAGGTTAATTATACACAGAGGTCATTTAGGGATTGAGACTTCTCAGAGAGAGCTGTTGTTACTGCATTTACTTCATGTGAATGGGCACAGCAAGGAATCTGTCAGTGACTGAAAAATGGTTGTATAGAGCTCAGAATAGAGATGACAGATGGAATGGGATGAAACGCTTCAGAAATTACATTTTTTTTCTCAGGATTTTTCTGCATTTTTGTCATTTCTAAATATGTATATAAAAAAAGAATTTTAACATTAAGAAAAAATCATTTTTTAGTTATATTGCCATATAATAATGGCAATATTTCCTCTGATACAGAGAACTGCAGGAAGATGGGTCTTCCAAATATATTGCCAAGGTTATCCATGTTTAATTGGGCTGTGCATTTACTGTTCCTGTTGCAGTTTTGGCTTACTGTCTTTTCTTCCTGTGGGACATACCAGGGAGATGTTAGTTGGAAAACAAAAGTAAAGACTGGCAGGATTTTACTGATACCAATCTTAGTCCCAGTAGTTTTGAGGAATTAGACCTTTGGGAGATAACCACATGAATCTAATACTAGTAAAACAGGCTAGAGGAACGCAGCATTCTTTCTACCTGTCACTAAAAGCACAATCTGTCGGTTGTTATCTATCAAGACTTTCTGTGTTTAAACACAGACAGAAATAAGCTGGAATATAGTGCTAAAGCACTCCCCCAAATCCTAAGATACTCTTGTCTCACATATTTCAGAACTGCTTATGTAGGATGTTTTGGCAGACTATTAAAAAAAAAATTAACGTGACCTCAGAGAGCTGGTAATTAGTTGTAAACAACATGATGTGGAGGGAGGGTGTTTTGCTTCTTGAATTGTTAATGTATGTGCAGCCATCTGTCTATCCATATGTGTTTTCTTTCTTTTCCTTCCCTACACCTAGCAAATGCTATAAACCAAGGCCAAAAAAAAAAAAAAAAAAGAAAAAAAAGAACGATACACATTATATTTCCATACCACTTTGCCACAACTCATTTCATCTGGTATTTTTAGTCCTATTCAGCATAAAGCTATCATGAATTTTCCAAATGTTATACACTAATAGTGAACCTTCTTAACTGTTAGAGTTGATGCTAATAAAGACGATTTCTGTTGCCACGTAATGCATCCTAATAATTATGCAGAAATGAATCTAGTGCTTTTCACATTACTGGCTTGTGCTGTGGGGGTTCTGCCAGTACTTTCCTTGCTGTTTTAGATGTTACATGTGTTAGAAGTCTTTAACTGATGCCAATTCATGTCCTCTTTGTAGTGACCTTCTAATATAGAAGACTGGGGAACACCTGGATATTTAGGTTTCTTCTCTATTGTTCCTAGCTTCTATTCTTAGATACATATAAATGCTATGTGTTTATGCTTCCTAGTAGACGGTATTTAAATTGTGCCTATGGATTTTATGTGTGTTGAGTTGTAAAATTCTGAGAAGCAAGCTCCTGACTCTGATTACATATTTCCTACTGAAAATCTTGTTTGCCTTTTTATGATCATGTCTTCAAATTGTTTGACGTATTTTGCTTTTACTTTCAGGCCACACTGAATACTATATGGACGATATATGCATGTTGCAGTTACTGAAAGGCCTTTGCCTTAAACACTTGGGAAGACTTATGCAAGCTGAACTATGTTTCAATCAAGTAATTCAAAGGTAAATATAAAAGAAATAGACATTTTACCTTTATTTTGTACCTGTCATTGAGATTGATGATGTTTCTGTAGAAACCTTCACATTAGAATTTTGTATAATTAAATTTCATTATACTGTTAAGGAGCTGGAGTTAAAATATCTCTGAAAGTAGCTGGAGGACCAAAAATTTTGGTTATATTTTTCTACAGCAATTTAGCATGAAATTATTTTTATAAAAATGTGATGCTTTAGGCCAAGTGAATCACACTGACAAGTAATGCATTTATCTAGATACATTTGTAATTAATATTTTTGTATTTGCAGAATTATCAATGTAAGTAAAGGTAGTTTGTGTGAATTTGTTGTTTCTCTTTTTTTCCCCAATGTTTAGTGCTTCTGGAGTTAATACTTAAGTAGATGAGAAATTACTGAACTTGTTATTAGTTTCAGTTGACAAATTGGATTTCCAGTGTTAGGAATTTATTCAACATTTTAGATCCATATCTACTGTAATTATTTTTCTGTTACATTGAGTCCTTCCTGCATTTATTGTTAATTTCTTTCTTTTTTTTTTTTTAAGTAATTAGGTTGGAAAAAAAGTTACGGTGTTTGTGCAGTTCTTCTAATAAATAATAGTCTGGAAGAATTTTTTTTTTTTTTAAATGAGAATATTTTCTATAAGTCTGGTGCCTGTTGCAGCTTTCTTGACAGCAGGCCTTTTCTTACCATTCATAAGATCCCTAATGGGTTCAGTGAAACACTTAGCAAGTTACCTGGCTTTTGTTTATAAATTTCCTGAAAGTCTCTCTCCAAAGATATTTGATCCAGTGGAGGCTTGATGCATCTCAAAAACTTGTCAGACAAAACTTCTTCAAAAAGATGTTTTGAATGGGGGGAAAGAGGAATTTTTGGGTAAATTAAATACTTGGTTAGCTTTGCTCTCTACTTTCTTGAGCAGCTATAGAACATTAAGTCTGCTTTAAAGACACGTTTCTGTGCATCAAAGCTTGTCTTGGTGGATGAGGTAACTCTAGAAATACGATTCTCAAAATGTTGATGTTTGTTGCAAACTTTATGTTCTACAAAATTGTTTGATATTACTTTATCTGGAGAAAAATCAAAGAATTAATTGCAAAGGAAGTGGGAAAGGCCAAGGTGCTTGGTGCCTTTTTCACCTCATTCTGTACTGCCAAGATCACTCTTCAGGAATTTTCCAGATCCCTGAGAGTTGTGGAAAAGTCTGGAACAAGAAAAACTTTGTGGAAGAGGGTCAGGTTAGGAAACATGTAAACAAACTGGACATACGTATGTCCATGGCAAGTGAACATACCTAATGGGATCTTTTGGTGTATATCCATGAGTACGTAGGGAACTGGCCAATGTTATTTTTTCTTGGAAAAGTTATAAGAATTGAAGGAGGTTCCTGAGGAGTGAAAGAAAGCGAATGTCTCCCTAGTCTTCAAGAAGAGGAAGGAGGATACGTAGGGGAACTACAGACCAGACAGCTTCATACTGTGGGAAGAGCAGTGGATGTTCATCTCCAGTTTAAAAAAGCTTTTGACATAGTGTCCTGTAATAGCATCATAGAGAAACTGATGAAGTCTGGACTACTTAAGGAGGCAGTGGTGTGAGCTGAACTGTTGCATTCAGGAGGCCTGTGAGGGGCATCACAAAGTCAGCATGCAGTCAGCAGCAGAACTACAGTGTTTGACACTGGAATGCTTGTAGCTATAATGGTGTTGATACCACACCAGTGTTCTGTCTGTTACTGAGGTATGCTCAGCGAGTCTGTCTCTTTAATGAACCCCTCAATGAAATGCCAGTAGGCTGGGGTTAGGCTAGAGGTAGGGAGGACAGCTGACCTCAAAGCTGACATCAAAGAGATGCTCCATACTGTATGACATCGTGCTCAGTAACAAAAGCTGGAGAAGGGGAATGAGAAGCTGACAGAGGGCTGTCATGATTATGTTTGTGTTCCTGAATAATTGCTATATGTACTGAAGTCATGCTTCCCAAGATATGACTGACCATCACTTGGTGATGAGAATTAGAGAATAATTGCTTCTGCATTGTCTTAGCAGTTTTTTTTTTTTTTTCCTGCATTAAATTGTTCCTTATTTCAGCCCTGAGGCTTTTGTCATTTTATGTTCTCCCACTGATTGTTTTTTTGGAGGGGGATTGAGAAAATGATGTGATTGAACTTAGCTGCTTATTAATGTGAAAGCACCATCCTAGGCTAGACAAATTATTTTATAGCAACCTCATGAAGTTCAGCAAAAGGAAATGGCAAGCTTTGGTGAAGAATATAGCTCCCTGCACTGCTGCTTGTGGCAGCATGATGGGAAAGCAGATTGTCAGAAAAAGCCTTGGGGATCCTGAACATCACGGTCAACTCCAACTTGACAGGAAGCCAGGGATGTGCCTTAGCAATGGGTTGTATTAGGAACAGTGTCCTCAGCAGGTCAAGGGAGGTGATCTTTCCTCACTGCTCAGTTCTGATGAGGCCAGATCTAGATTACTGTATCCAGTTCTGGTCTTTACAGTACAAGAGAGGCATGAACATACTGTATGAAGCCCTGCAAAAGGCCACAAAGATGATTAAGAGATTGAACTTCTGTCATATCAGGAGAGACTGAGATAGCTGGGGCTGCTCAGCCTGAAGAAGGAAAGTCTTGGGTTGGGTTGGAAGGGTCATATGTATAAATCACAGAATCACAGAATAACTTGAATTGGAAGGGACCCACAGGTATCATCAAGTCCAACTTCTGACTCCATACAGGACCACTCAATAATCAAACTGATTTCATTGCTGAAAGTATTGTCCGAAAGTTTCTTAACTCTGGCAGCTTGGGGCAGAGGGTCTGGAGAGTCTCCATCCTTGGAAATATTTAAAATCTAACTGTACACAGTCCTGAGCTGGTTGCTGTTGTTGACTCTGCTCTGAGCAGAGTATTGGGTTAGATAATCTCCACAGGTGCCTTCTGGCTGTTACGATTCTACAGATTTTGTATGCTGAAGAAAAGTTGAATTTTCTTAGTTCTTTGAAGCTTTGTTCAGGCAAACTGAGGTATAAGGATGCCGGTTTTGTGTACAAGAAAAATTATTTACATTGCTTTTAATCTTGTGTCATCTTTTTTGTTCCTTTTTTTTTCAACTGTAAGTCACACAATAGAGTTTCAGTCCTGGGTGTATATAGCTTGGATAACAATTAGGAATGAATAAATCTTTGCTTGCTGAAGATCTTAATAGTATTTTATACCTATGGCTTGCAAGTATTATTGATATGCACGGTGTCAACTGGTAAAAATTTCCAGAGTTTTCTGTGGCCATGGACTTCTACATACGGTGTTTGCATTTGAAAGTTAATTGATCACTTAAGACAATGTTGTATTTAGCCATTTTTTATTTTTCTGATTTCCTAGTGAGAAGCAAATAAAATATGATAGCTATTTGGTGCCATTCTCCATGTATGAGCTGGGACTTCTATACAAACAACAGGGTGAGAGAGAAAAAGCTATAAGATACATAGAAACTGCAAAGTAAGTCAATTTTTTTGTTTGTTTGTTTTAACCTTGAGATTAAAATTATCTGAGTAAATTTACCAACAAGGAATTTTTTTTTTTCTGACAGTCTTCTGCCAAAATGGAAGTAGATCTTTGTTTTTGACTACAAAATTTGTCCAGTATGGTTGAATTTGATAGTTTTGTTGTTGTACTGCTTCAGGTTCAGTGGACTAAACTATGCTGAACAACACAGAGTATTCAGAGAAAGTATCTCCTTTTAATTTAGTTTGTAGAGATTCTGATGCTGTATGTAGGAAAGGGCTGCACTCTACTGTATTTGTAGTTTAGACCTGGAGGGTCCATAGAAAGAGTCTGTGCCAGCTGTGACATGGAGAGCAGCTGTGGGCCTCGTATCTGCTGCAGTAAAAATATTATTGGGAGTAGGTTAAATGCTAGTACAGTTCTGACCACATACTTCTTTCTTTTTAAATTTGGTTGCAGAAGAGCATGGATAACAGAATTTACTAGAGTGCAGCATGTTCATTTCAAATATTGAGCACAGGAAGGAATGTCATTTGCCCCTAATGTGGGTAGGAAAGTGTACCAATTGTGCAGCAGTGTTGTGAATTAGAAAGAACAGTCTTGTAAAATGCCTTTTAGAAACATAATAGTTTTTTGTTTTTGTTTTGATTTGGTTTTGCTTACATAATTTGGTTTCTTTCTTGTTTTATTACACAGGCTGAGTTCTGTTCTGAAGTTGAGAATATATTTGCAGTTTACAGTCCTTCTTTTCTGTATTTTTCTAGTTTGTGTTTTCACAGCAATCTTACGTAGTGGAAGGACTGCTGAATGATCAAACTAAGTGAGATAGACATGTTAAGACATGGATGCAGTTTAGCAAGAAATGTAATTGTTAGTACTGGTATAAGTCTCTGCTCTGTTTGTAGAGATAGCCTGAAATGCCATCAGAAGACTGTAATTCATCTGCTGTTTCCTGTGGAATGAGTGAAAGCCTTTAGCTTTGGTATTTCAGTCGATATATGAGGTAAAAATAATTCAACTAATAAAAGAACTTTATTGTTTGCAGAAACAACTACAAAGAATACTCTATGGAGTCCAGATTGCACTTCAGGATTCATGCAGCACTCGACAGCTTGAAAGTGTCACCTGCTTCAACACCTTGAATGAGGAGGGATGCATTTCATGCATATAGTGCATGCAATAGTCTGCACAATCTTTTTGCAATGTTTTTTAAATCTTCAAAAAGAAATAACCTAGTGATTGTTTTCTGACATCTCTGATTTGATGTATGTTATTTCTTTAGACGGTTCTTTTTCTTTATGGCTCATATACTGTATCTACTTGATACTTTAAAAAAGACCTTATATTTTATTTGATAAAAATAATTTAATATTTGACTTAGTGGGGGATATTTAAAAAACAGTTGATGGTGCAATAACATTTAATTCAAACACTTTATTTTTTTATATGAAAACAGATGCTGGCTATGCAGTGGAACTGGTGATAATTTCAGCCTTTTGAGGAGGTTTGATTTTCTGCAGAACACTTAAGGTCTTTCTGCCTTTGGAACAATAGTGCAATGGCTGCAGTAACTTGTACCCGTATTTAGCGTACCATATTCTGAAATTTGCATTCCAGAGGAAAAAAAATCTTCATTTTTAACTTTATTTCATTTTGGGAACAAAATGAATTTGTCCAAAGTGCAATATTTTTATACCTTTTAAGGTAAAGTTAAGCAGAGCTACAGGTAAAAAGTCTCTGCAGCTCCAGTTCACTCGATATATGTGGTCATAGGGGTCATTTATCAGTCATAGAAGAGCAGGGCTACTAGGGACATTAAGAGACCATCTGTTATGTATTCCCACCCTTAAAGTGGAATCAAGGTCTTACATTATTCCTTGCAGGTACTTGTTTAAAGTATTTTTAAAAAATCTAACTTGCACAAGCAGTGTTTTCCAGTGCTTTATTATTTCTATGTATAATTTTTTTCCTTGTGTCTATCCTTAAATAATTCCTTGACCAAAACTCACTACTTTCCATTACTTACATCTTCCATGTCATGGATCTGGAGAATGGATTTTTCTGAAGCAGTCTTGCAATATTTGAAGACTGGCTCTTCTGTTGCTCCTTTTGGTTCCAGTCAGAACAAATGAAAACTTGCAGAACATAATTATTTCCCTGATCTTTGGGAATAACTGATATTAATCTGAGTTGCTTTTGCATCAAAAAGAGAATCCAATTTTAAACATGGAATTTAAAAAGTGCATATTCTAACCATAACTTTCTACCAAAAAGTGGGTATTGAGATATGGTTGTTTTGTTTTCTCATTAGTATGTGGAGAACATAATCAAATTTAGTTTCCCAATTCCTTTCTAATACTTCTGCAAGTTTTACTAGCACTGTATTCTTAACTAAGAGTATACCTGACATACTAAACACTGGAACAGGTTTGTAGAGAGCTGCTTGATGCTCTGTGATTGTCGCTGTTCAAGAGGCATTTGGATACTGCTCCCAGTGATGTGTTTTAACTTTTGTTTGGCACTGAAGAGTTCAGGCAGTTGGACAAGACGACCATTGAAGGCTGCTTCCAACTGTTCTGTTATGCTCTATTTTATTTTCTTCTGTTGATCCCCAGAAACTGTCCTGTCACAAGTTATTGCAAAACCTGCCAATATCCATATTTTAGTAATTCTAGGATGTTGTTTTCCTTTGAGAAATAATTGATAGTAACTAAGTATGTGATTCTCTGCCCTCAGCTCCCACTCAAGAGAAAAGAAACAAAGTAGGTGAAAGCACCTCTCCTCAGTAAACAACGAACTATAAAATTCTAATTAATTAATAAATCTACTGTAAACACTCTAATTAAGAACACGGCTTTCTTCCATCACTGTAAATGAGTAATTAGGTTGCATAAAAATCCATAATACAAGTGAAATAAGAGTTTATAAATAGTAGCTAAATAAATACAACAGGTCTTTGAAAGTGGAAGGCTACTCCGAAGTCTATTGTCTTCACTGATTTGGATTTTTGTCTGCCTGTTATAAATGTGCAGTTAAACTATTGGGCTGAATTATACATTTGAAGGTTAAATACCAAAGAGACTGATTCATCAACACTTATATAAGAATGTGCTTTCTTAACTTTAGATAAAGTATAAAATACATTTGGCTCTTTATCAACCAAGACTAGCATATGCCACCACTTCTTAGATTTCTTGTCCTTCTGTACACATCTGGTTATAAATGATTAGGCAACAAAAATTAATTTCTCTATGTTTTGAGACAATATTTTTATTGGACTACTTGGATATTTTCATTTTAATATTATGATTAACTGTGGTTCACTCTGGTTATAGCAGTCAAATGGGACCGCTTCATTTTCTTGTGAAAGGTGATGAAAGCAGTAACTGGTGGAACTTCTGTAGTTTCTGTTTCAGATAACAATTCCCTCCAATGAAGAGTAAGAACTGAGACTACAGACGCAGGATGGAGCATGAAGTAGTCTCTGCTCTCTTGTTTTTGCTCAGAGTGTCTTACAGTTAGTATTTTATTGGAGATTTGGAATAGAAATTGAAATCGACAATATATAAAAAATGAGCTTCCTTAGAAACTGTTTTTTTTTTTTTTTTTTTGTAGTTTAGTTACAAATGTTATGGAGCACTGTACTTTATTGATAATACAGACTGCAGAGGTAAAGAAGATCTTTATTTTCTTCATTTCAACCTTCCAAAGTCAATATTACACTGTGTACAGGTTAGGTTTTTTTTTCTCTTTTGGGATCATCCTTTTACACACCTGCAGAGAACAGGCATATCAACACAAGTTTGCATTGTAGTCTAGTGTTTTCATGTTCTGAGGTTCCCAACCTAAGTACCCTTTACAGTTTGTGTCCCTTTCTTTGCTGCTATTCCAAGCTTATTTGATAGAATCTTGAGCAATCAGGTTTTCTTAGCTTTATCCTTGGATATTAAAAAAAAACCACAAAACTTAATAACAATAGAAATGCAACTGTGTAAGAGTGACGTGTAGCCCTTCATATGAGATAGATCATGTTTTTCTGAACACTGCAGAGGAAGCTCATGGCTATGGTCTGCTCTTACACAATGCATCATTGATGCAATAATATTTAGTACATTGTGTGTAAGGTAGGATAAGTGATCTGCGCATAAGAGTTTGAATGAAAAGTCATATGTTCTTTTATACTTGCTGTATACTTTACTTGGCCTTAAATACAACTCTGACTTAGTTTTAATGCTCTTTAGAATCTTCACCTCATTTGCTTATTGCATGGGGCAATTTTGCATTATATGCTGAAACTTTGAAACTGAGCAAGGTGGAGCATTTTCTTACAGTGCTGTAACATCTGTTGATAGTAGGGGATTATAATGTATCCAGCAACTAGGCTAAGCCCTTAGTTTAAGCAAGTAAGGCTGAACTTGTAATGTTATGACAGAGGTCATGCTGATCATAGATGGATGTTTTTTGAGGTGAGGATTAATAAAGCAGGTTGGTTACAAGACAACGCTTCTGTTCAGTTGAGATTTGTCTTAGAAAACAAAAAACCCGCCTTGTCTGTGTATATCAGTCATGTTTAGTCTCTTGGAGAGCAATCATTATATTTTGATTTTTATGTACTGGTTCACCACTCGAACATATTAAAAGAAAGCTGATTAAAGATCATGTTTTATATCTGCTCTAATACACAAGGGTAGTAGCTGTACTGAGGAACTTACAGCAATAATAATGTATAATGATTGGATCCTGTCATGTTTCTAAAATACCTTCTTGCTAGCTAAAGTATAAAAGAAGCCATTTATTGTGACAAATCCTGCTTTACTTTGCAATTATTTCATTATTAATCTTCATGTTTAATGTCATTTTGTTTCTGTATGTTCTTAGATTGCATAGTTCAACAAAGAATGTTTATATTTACTGGTGAACCGGTGATTCAGTTTATTTGCTTCTGAACTGTTGAGGTTTGCACATGTTCGTGTTTGTTGCTTTAGTAAAGACAAGGTTAGAATAACGGACAATGAGTGCTGATTAAGTGTTTTTGGTATTAGGAGCATGCAGAAGTGTTCATTTTGATGCAGTTGTTCAAATTCTCTCTTCAGGGGAATAATGACATGATTTCATGCATATGCTGCTGAGTGCAAAATCTTGCACTGTATTCTCATTGTGTATAAAGAACCTTCTACTAGGATTTATCAACATAAAATCAACAAAAAGGATGTACCCAAGTTTCAGTATGTTGTTGCAGGCATATTTCTCTGTTACCTATCTTCCAGTTTATCAAAGAGAATAGAAAATCTTTTGAATTGTGCTTAGCAAGTGTAAAATTAAAAGCTACTTTAACTAGTCTTCTCCTCACAGACCATGTAACCCTTTAAAATGCTGCAGCGGTTAATAATTAACTAATTCTGCTACAATTTATGACATTAAATTTAGTGAGACGTAGAAATGATGTAGTCATAGTATTCTATTACAATTCTAGAAGTAAAAACAAGGAGAAAATTAATTTTATATATGTGCAGGATTTGATTTTAATAGCATTCAACATTCAGAATTCTAAATGTTTAGAATATTTTTCTCGTGTGGTACGATTAAACATTTTCATAGTAACAAATGACTTCTAACCAGTTAGGCCAACTTTTTGTCACTAGTGGTGATTATAGTTCTCATAAGATGAGACACAATGGATGACTTAACTCAGAGAAAGGCAAAAGAATGGATATGCTCCTGCATGTGTTGTTATCTGTAAGGCACTAATTTACTCTCAGTTGTAGACATACCATAACACAGAACAAAACAAAGCCTTAGTGGATAGATTAGAATGCTTGCAGTGTGTTGAATAAAGGTAGTATACTGAATAGAAGGATGGAACACGTGCTGGAGAAGAACATGAGTACTAAAGAAGGAACTATATCTCCATTCATACATTTTGCAGAAGCTATTTTACATGTGAAAATGTAAGCTATAGTTACTTTATGAACTCACTACTTGGACTTCCTTTGTTCCAACATGAGGAAGAATATCTATGTTGCTGGCACCTTAGCTCCATTTGGCTGCTTATGTACTGCTTTTGTTTGCTTATCTCTGGTATTGTCATTTGCTTTTAAGTAAAAGCAAAAAATTGTAGGACAGCTTCATAAAGAAATTTAATCATTGCAGTTCAGAGTTTTGCATTTTGTAGAAGAGTAGCCTGTGGAGGAAACGGAAGCCTGTGCTTAGCACAGTGCATTCTGTGTTCAAGGGATGCAAAATTAAGTGCTATCCTTTCTGTAGAAGTAAAAGCAGGTAGTTCTGCAGGGAGCTACATGTACAGGGAGGCACATGTCAGCTAGTAATCATAGACAGAAATACTTCTCTAGATGCTGTCACTCATTTCAGGAGAACTTCAAATTCATTAGCAGAAGATGGTATTCCGTGCCATAAATATCGTAATTGGAGCATTCAAGCCAAATGGGACTGATCTGATATCTACCTCATCTGAAGCCATAGTATGGAGAATACTCAGTGTTGATGACATGCCGTGCATAGAAAAACTGTTTAGGTTATTCTGGAATCCCACTGGAGATGTTCATACCCTTGTATACTTAAGTATGTAAATGTGGATCGCAGAGCGTATTTTTATAATGGAAAGTGTGTGTAAGGTTATATTAATACCTTTTTTTTTTTTTTTTTTTTTTTTTTTGACGTGCTTAAATGACCTACTCTTACTTCTGTATCTAAAATCAGGGTGGAGGGATATGTAAGATTAGGTTAATGCTGCTTATTATTAGCTTATGTGGTTGGGGCTTAAGTTGTTTCAGAGTATTAGGAGATCTTCAGAATTAAACTTGATGTGGAAAAGAGGGTAGTATGAATTTAAATGTGGTCTTTTTTAATGCACTTTTGCTCAAGGGGGCAGTGCTTAAGTCCACGCAAAACACAAGCTATGAATGTGCTGAGCAACAGTCATAAAGCCAGAAAACTTTCTTTAAAAATACTCTTGAACTGATTGGAGTCTCTTTTAAGAGAGGTTATATATTGCATGCATTGATAAACCTGCTTAAACAAATTTTACAAAGGATTCCAGCTGTGATTTAAAATTGTATGTAACTTAAAATGTGCATGTTCATACCTTACTTTGATAAGATGCTTGTCTTAAATCTTGCCAAAATCATATTAGTGCTGTTTCAAATTTATTTATGTTAGTTTTTACATAGCAACATTCAAAACATCCTGTTGTTGGTGACAATGAGAAAATACATTACGTGCTTTTTCACCTATTCTTTGTTGTTTCACACACTTGAAGAATACTTGAAAGAAAAGTACACTTGTTTTTGTGTATAATGCCAATAAAGTTCAAGATACACTTATTTTGACAGCCCAAATGAAGATTGCTGCTGTATTTCACATGCATTTTACTTGCAATGTTATATTTTATGATTTATTTCACTTATTCCAAACAAATAATATGGATAGCACTTGTGTTTATTCTGTAAAGAATCTTTGAAAGGTAAGTATATTATAAGTACATTAAATTAGATTTCTGTGAGCTGAAAGAAGAGGACAGAGGCTAAGCTTGTTCAGCCTGGAGCAGAGAAGGCTGCAGACCATTGCAGCCTTCCAGTACCTAAAGGGAGCCTATAAGCACAAGGGGAGCAAACTCTTTACAAGAATAGGTAATAGCAGAACAAGGGGAAATGGTTTTAAGTTGAATGAGGAAAGACTTAGATTGGATACTGGGGAAGTTCTTTACTATGAGAATGGTGAGGTGCTGGCTGTCCAGAAAGGTTATGGATGCCCTGTCCCTGGAGATGTTCAAGGCCAGGCTGGATGGGACCCTGGGCAGCCTGGGGTAGTATTAAATGTAGCAGGGGGAGTTGAAGCTTGATGATCCTTGAGGTCCCTTCCAACCCAGTGCATTCTGTGATGCTATGAAAGTGAAATCATAGAATCATAGACTACCCCAAGTAGGAAGAGAGGGATCATCGAGTCCATCAGTTCCACCAAAGACCATCCAAAATTCAAACCCTACATGTGAGAGTGTTGTCCAAAAGCTCCTTGAACTCTTTCAGGTTTGGGCCATGGTTTCAAGGCCTGGCCACCATTGATGAAGAACCTTTTCCTAATGCTCTGGAGGAGGATTACAGTCTCTGCAGATCATGAAGAGTCAAACAGAATGCTGTTTAACACGTAGCATACTCTGGAGTCTAGTGACATGTTTCGCATACAAATCATCTAGTAAATATTAAGGAACTTACAGAATACACAGCAGCTTTTGTTGTTGTTGTTGAACTAAGCTTTCAATTATTTTCACTGAAGACAGAAAATAAACCTTAAGTCATGAAAATAGAACCTGCAACTTGGGATATCACTGCATGCTATTAATTGGATGGTAACAATTTTGCTTACTGAACATGTCCCACTTCTAAAAAAGTCTGGGGGTTGGACTTGATGATCCCTGGAGGTCCCTTCCAACCCCTATGATTCTGTGTGTGAAGAGTCAGTAAACCAGCTTCATGTTTCATTTAGTTGAATGAAATGTTACTGCACGGAAATCAAAGCATATTTTCTCTCCTTTAAGCACTGGGTGCTCTTTAATGCTACTTCATACCTTAGTGGATCTTATACTATGAATGCTCATTTTCTGTCATTTTCACTTCACTTATTTAAAACTGCTGGGTTTTCTTTGTCTACTTTTTTTACGTGAGATGCCACTTGAGTATCATGTTGCAACACAAATATCCAGAGGTCTACTGTAAAATGGAACTTAAATTCTCATGGCCTGCTGGCAGGGCAAAAACTGAGACTTAAATCTTGCTTTCTGATACAGAAGCAAGTTTTGCTTGACTTCAGGAGTCTTATGTGTGCACGCAAATGAGATCACACCTGGCAGTCTGAAATCCTTCCAGTGTGTCCTTAGGAAACCATCCAGGTAGAGTTTAGATTGTTCAATGACCAGTATTTCTGGTGTGTGAATCTGTGAGAAGTTTGTCAAAAGCTGTTTTTCTGGATTTATTTGAAGATAGAAAGGGAAAGAAAAACAAAAACAAGACCTACAGTTCTGTCTTTATTTTGCATCCTTGGATTTTTCCCTTATTGGAGAGCTAGGTTGGAACCTGTCCTTGCTTACCTGCTTATCTGAAACCTATACTGGAAACTGTCAAGGAAAGTCTTTGCTCATCATTAGTACCTGTGCACTGTGCTCCCCTGGTATAATGCAGAGCAACGATAGCTGCTTGTTCTTACTAGCAGTAGCAGTTGATGCCATTAATATAGGAAGGAGAGCGGTCATTAAGAGATGACCAACAGAGAAAATGCTGGAGATATTCAGAGGTGGGGAATAAGAGTGGGACAGAAGTAGGAATATACTCAATAGGGGTTTCTGAAGCACCTCTATTATTGATACCACAGAGAAACGTGACACTATAGAAGTAAACAGTAATGTGAGAGAATAAAGCAAATGTGATTGTGGTAGAAAGATGTCATAAAAGAGAAGTTACAAAGTAGAGTCATCACTTGTTGGTAAGAGGA